AGATTCCTGCTTGTTTTTAATTCACACTGTAATCCCTGTGTGTACAACACCTTCCACAACATAGGTTCATTAAGAGAAGACCAGACTGATTCCAGTGCACGCTAATGCAGTTTGTAAAGTTCTCTGGGACCCTTGAAAATTAAATGAGCTTGTGTTGTGTAAAAGCACAGATGTGGCCATTTCACAAAAAAAAAATCACAAAGGGCCAATATGAACAAACTACTATCAATTCTTTCCCCACTTTTAAATGACTACAAGAAGCTATATACCAGCCAACAAAACAGTCAGCATTTAACACCTCTGTCACTTAATCTTTTGGTTTCTTTTAGCACAGGTAAATTTTGAATGTAAATATTTTTAAATTAAGCTTATGGTATTCATACATTTTTTATTAATTAAATTCAAAATATAGGAAAGCAGCTCTCCTATGAGAAAGCATTTTCAAAAATGCAATGTCATAAGAAAATCCTTTTCATCCAATATTTTTAAAAATATTTCTTCACTGTCTCGGTTTTATATGTTGTAATTTTCATACAACACACAGTTGGAAATTTATACCAATGACTGGAAGACCTTCATAATAAGATTTAATTTTGTGCATTGGAAAGTGAACTTACACATACAGATCACTTGGCTTTTAAAAATTGCTTGAAATAGGAAAAGACTTGTGTTTTTGTGGAAATTCATGAAATGTAAGAACAGGAGGTTTCTTCTGTAATTAAGAACGCATTTAAAAATATGCCTGCCATTTGTATTCCCAAACGTTTTACAATACAGAAAAGTTAGCTCAGTCCTTGTTATACAAAGGTATTAGTTATCTTAGGAATCTTAGGTATCTTTCTCTATCAAAACATGGGAAACCCTCACAGCAAATTTCTAAACCTTTAAATTCCACCACTGCTACGTGTTATGAAGACATTTACTGTCCTGGTGAAGTACAACAGTAAACACCCCTTTCAGAAGATTACAAACACATAAAAATCTCCTTTTCTTGTGGGAAAATTGTGGACTGTAAATCCTTTACAGCACAGGGTGCAACTTACTGCCCACATGCTGGAAATGGGACTTCAGTAGCATTGGCGGGGGGTCTAGTTTCAGCAGCAGTTGCTTTCCCCATGCAGGCACAGGGAAAAGGGGTGGAGGCAGGTGCAGGAGGAAAAGGGACAGTGACAGGGAAAAATAGAAGGGTGGGTGTTCTCCCCATGCTCGTGAGCAGGGAAGGGGGAACAGCAGTGGCGGCTGGGTCCTAACACCCATCTATCTGTCTTCCTTCCCCACTCCCTCCACCCAAAATGTCAATCCAGCCTGCTGCCTTAAAAGGTTGCAGACCACTGCTTTACAGCTATTGTCAACTTCACAGGAAAATAAGTGCAGACAAATACTGGTAAAAGCTCTCAACTTTAAAAGACTGATAAGTGACAAAGACAGAAAGATAGAAAGAGGACACTGGGTGTCAAAACCTACCCACTTCACTCAGGAAAAAAAATTAAGAAGCCTTGCCTCAGAAACATTGTACTGTAATTCACCTATGAGTTTTTCTTCATCACTATAAAAATCCAGTTTTTCCTAACAGGACCAATATGATGTTACCAACCTCTCCTAATACTCTGGACAGCTTGCAGATGACAAAAGAACAGACCAGGAAATTCTGGAAACCATGACTGGCTTCTCGTTCCTTCTGCAGTTATCTTGTCACCAGTCACATGATTCTTTCTTCCCTCTTCCCTTTGAAATCAGACCTATTCCCCAGAGAAATAAATTTAGGACCTTTATTACCTGTGAATGTCCCAGTGAGGACACAAGCAGACAGCAGAATCTTGACAAATTCCTGCATAAAACTGACAGAGTTTTTTAATTCAATATTGAACAATATGAAATTCTGAAAATAATCTAGGTCTAAGTATAAAATGCTACTGATCTCAGACTTCATGGTAATGTTCCAAACTTGAAATAATCAATATTGTTTTGCAAAGGGAGGAACCAAACCTTGTAGTCAAGGAGTGAGATGAAAAATGTTCACTTAAACAGAAAGGGGGTATTGAAAAGAGAAAGCAACAGCAGACTGAAAATTCTGAACTGATATAATCATCAAGTGAGTAGGAGCCTTAAGCCAGAATCTGATGGTATCCGGCTCAGCTCCCATTTCAATGAAACAACCACAGTACTAAATACTTCATAGCATGCAGTTTTTGAAAAAAAATATTTTCATCCTTCTCAATTACTGATATACCTAGAGCATACTCGCTCAGTGATATTCAGAAAATTACTTTTCCCATTTCCCCAGAACAGTAATTTTCTTTGCTGAACTATTATAGCACATTGCAATGTCTTAAGTCCAAGGTCTTTCAGAAAAAAAACAAGCAAACAAACTGCACTAGAGTCATTCTGAACTAATTACACTTTTCTGCACATAGTTTAACTACATTAGTGAGAGCTCTTTTCCATTTTAAATCTAAACTTGCTTTTATTAAATATTTCTGGTTCTCAAGATGCATTTTATTTTCTGGATAATTCAAGATACTACAGATAGCTCTATTATATTGGAGATGTGAAGTCATAATTGCTTTGCTGAAAGTTAGCAGCAATCCATCAAAATATGATAGTAAGCACACACCAAACTGTATACACCAGGCCAGATCCAAACCATGAGGCAACTTGCAAGATCCAGCTCTGGCTCTGACCAGGAGCATGTGGTGGTGGTGGCAACAGTGGCTGTGGCAGCAGCTTTAGCTCTGACCCAGAGCATACAGCAGCAGCTCTGGCTCCCACCCAAAGTACTGAGTGGCTGCACTGCTCTGGCTCTAACTTGAGGCATGTGATGATGGCCCCAGCCACCCACTGTATACCCCACGCCAGAGCCAGAGCCAGAGCTGTCTCTCCCTTGTATACCATGTCACAGTGGTAACTCCAGCTCTGGCACAGGGCATGCAGCAGGCATGACAGGAAAAGTAGCTGGAGGTCAACCAGGACTGTCATCCCTCACTTATCCTCCTGCCACCGATCACCGTGTCCACTGGGGCCCAAAGACCCCAAAGTCTGCAGCAGGCCACTCACCCTTGGTCACACCCCGCAACTTCCAGCAGGGTGATAGAGCAGCTCCATGAGCCATATGCTTATATAATATACCCCTGTGTGAAAATGCTCCCAGCCATAGGCCACCCAGTCTCTGGGATCTCCAAAGCATGGATATAAGCACTCCCCACTCCCTTCCTAGCATTAGAACCACAATACTTCACACAACTGTGAATCTGTTCCCAATCAGCAGCAATCCTCGTTTACCCTGATAAAAAAATTGCAAATTCTCTGATAAACCCCCCAAATCCATTATTAAAATTAAAGGCCCCCCACAACCTCCCCTTCCCCCCCCAGACCTGCTCATGCCACTTACTTCCCCCCGGTGCCCTCCACTCCCCCCTCCACAACCCCTCAGTCCTGCTCATGCCCCTCATCTCCCATCCACAGTCCTGCTGGAGGGGCCCCCCAGCCCTGCCAGAGAGGGCCCCCAGCTGCCCGGGCTGTGGGGCCAGGGC